AGTAGTCCATATTCCCTTAGAATTAGCCATATTGAACCTGTCGAGTATGCGTTGAATGTACTAGCTATGACTCAAACATAACCTCTTCTTCAACAAATCCTTATAAATATTCATTCCTAATATCCTCTTTGACTCCCCTAAATCTTTCATTTTAAATGCAGACTTCAACATGTTCTTGCATTTGTCAACGTCGGATTTATTCTTTGCTAAGATGAGCATATCATCTACGTAAAGTACTAGAATAATAAAATTGAAAATCTTATCATTTACCTTCTTCATGTAGACACAATTATCATACACACTCCGTGAAAAATCTTGTGTCTTCATATATTCATCAAAGCGTGCGTTACACTATTTAGGAGCTTGTTTCAATTCATATAGTGATTTCAACAATCTACAAACCAAACTCTCTTGACCTTTCACTTCAAAGCCAACTGGTTGTTTCATGTAGATTTCTTACTCTAAATGTCCATAGAGAAAAGTTGTAACCACGTCAATCTGATTCATAACAAAACTAAATGTCGTAACTAGTGCACATACCAAACGAATCGTAGGCTAAAGATGAGAAGACTTCGTAGTAGTCCACACTTTTTTCTTGTGTGAAACCTATAGCCATCAACCTGGCTTTGAAGATACCCGTCTCGTCATCTGCTGGAGAATTCTTCAACTTGTACACCCACTTGCAATCAATCAACGCTTCATCCCTAAGAAGTTTAACTAACTTCCAAGTCTTGTTCTCGATCGACGACTGCATCTCACACTCCATAGCAGCATGCGTTTGAGCTTCCCTATGCGAAGAAGGTTTCCCTTCTTTCAAGATCTACGCAGTGGACCAAAATTCACATGGTAAACCTGATTGGCTCAACGTACTCCGTACCTTCTCCAACAGTGTTCGATTTAGCCTATCAGAGACAACATTCTATTGCGGAGTATAAACCGTGGTGAAATGGCGAATCATCCCCTCCTCTTTGCAATAACTCTGAAAATCCTCAAAAGTATACTCCCCATCTTTATCCGTACGCAAATATCTCACCCTGTGTCCAGTCTGAGTTTCAACTTGGGTCCGCCAACTTTTGAAAGATGGAAACATCTCAAACTTGTGTGTGAGGAAATAAACTCACACATATATTGAGTAATCGTCAATAAATGATACATAGTACAACTTTCCAGAGAGTGAGGCAATAGAAGAGTGTTTCCACACGTCACTGTGTATATACTCAAGTGATTCCTTGAAACTATGAGTTCCAACACCAAAGGCTCGCTCGTGCTGCTTACCCATGATACAATGTTCGAAAAACGTCAGATCAACTGAATCCAAATCATGTAGCAACTTTTTCTCGTTCAAGAGATATATGTAAGTGTCACTCATGTGTCCTAGTCTAGAATGTCATACATGAGACATATCAAGTTGAGATACAGTAAAATGACCTTCTTCATAGATGGTATTGCCCTCTACCATGTATAGATTATTGTGCTTGTGTCCTTGAAGTACTATCTTATCACGTGATCTAACGTCCAACACGCTTTTCTTAGAGCTCCACTCTAGGTCGTGTGAGTCTAGCATACCAAGAGAGATTAAATTCCTCTTCATGTCAAGAATAAACCTAACTTGGGTTGATGTACGTTTGACCCCATCAAACATGCAGATCTTCATAGATCCAACACCTTCAACCCTACAGTATTGATCATTCCAAATGAACTATCCGTCTGATCATGAAAAAGTAAAGGAAAACTTTCTAATGTAACATATGTCAAAACAAGCACTATCAAGAATACATACGTCACCAACAACCTTTGGTAAATAGCATAGGACAAACCTTTGACATCATAGACCATTCTCCAGTAAGTCATACTCCTCAGCTTCAAAATGTTCTGCCACATTCGTCAACGGAGTGAAATTCGCGCCTTTGATTTTATTCACCTAGCAGTCCTTTTTTATGTGGTCACTCTTGCCACAACGCCAACAAACTACCGTCTTACTCTCAGGAACCTCACCCATGGACTTGGATCTTTCTTTGGATCCAACATATTTTCCATCCTTGTCGTTCCTAGTGACCAATCTCGAATCACAATCAATGCCGTTCTGGAAGAACTAGATGAATGAGATGATAACATCATCTTCTGCTAAAGGTCATATGTCAAAAGAGCACTTACAACATCGTTGTAACTAATAGTATTCTTATCACAATGGAGAAGTAAACGTGATAGTGTTTGATACGATGCCGGAAGCGAGCTGAGAAGATGAAGAGACTTCATCTCATCTTCAATGTCTTTTCCAAAATTTTTGAAGATCTATCACAAGATCATCAAATGCGTCGATGTGATTTTGGAGTTTCGTCCCAATATCTTTCATCTTGAAGGTCATTAGCTTCAAGTGAGTGTACAACCTGTTAGACAATTCCATGTGATGAAATTGTCGTTTGAGAGCGTCAAACAGTACAGGTACCTCCTCATACTCCTCCACCTTCTTGAAAACCACGAATTGAAGATATCCTACAAATCATGCCACTCATTATTGTTGAGGCTGTCGGATTTTCTCTCAACAGCATGCTAAAACTCATGGTATTCAACTTCCCTTTTACTTGACTTTCCCAAAGCAAGTAGTCTCCGCGTGCATCAAACTGATAATCTCATAACCAGACCCTCCGGTTTGTCTTATTACCATTTGTGTACGACAAAACTAGAAGTTGTGGCAATTTCCTCCTTTTCTCTCAACCGTCACTGTCCGCGATGTACATCAATGCTTTAGTTGCGCCGAGAGCTTTTCAACGATACCCACTTTGTCTATATTAAGGAAAAATTCCATTTGAACAAAATATTCTTGCGAATGGAATATTCATGTAGAATATTCTTGAATCTACCCTGAGCTGCACAAACCTGACCGCTTGTTGCCCGCATCTGTCCAACATGCCCAAACTGCCTGAACGCTGACCGTTCTCTGCCCGAGGTGATCGAACTGCCCGAATGTGACCGCTCGCTACTTGCACCTGCCCGAGGTGCCCAAACCGCCCGAACATTACCTCTCGCTGCCCACTATTGCCCGAACCTGACTGGAGCTGATCAACGGCTGTCCGCACTTGCCCGCTACTGCTCGACCCTGCTCGATGTGCCCTAAATCTGCCGCACCACGTGTCGTCGAAAGGGAAAAAATTGATGTTTCAGAACTGCTTTGCTTGCACCGCACGCTCGCGGAAGGGAGAGTAGTGACGTTTTTTGGTTCCTCAATCTCACCGCATGCTTGATGATCTTGCTACTGCATAGTTAGTTCCACGCGGATTCCAATGACGTGTCTGATTGTAAATCGCTCAAACAACCACCCCTCCCGTCAAGACGCCAGAATCAATCGATCGCTCGCTCGTCAGCTCGACCACGAAACTCTCGAAATCTAATGCACTCACTACTGGCTCAATCTTCATTACAGTCCTCGAGCTCGTCTTGCGCATACCAGTTTTTATTCGAAAAGTGCACATGCGGGTGAATCTTCGGAAAGTAGCATTGATGTCCGGTGTTGTGAACCCAGTGGCGAGCCCGGAGGCAGGTCCAAAAAACGAAGCGGAAGGCACATTTTACTCTACAACATAAAATGTGTTGTACAGTGTTCGAGTTTATACTGTACTGTATTCGTGTATATATTGTACACGTGCAAGTTTGGAGTACGCGTACGACCATCTACAAGTTTTCTAGATGTTGTTTGTAGACGAACCACCAGCACGAGTTCGCAATTCTAATCACAACAACGTGGTCGATTGTGTCTATGTTCTCGGCTGCACGAGTTTGCTCTCGGATGTCTCGAACACACGCTCGCACCTCCCTCTCAACTCTCAAGCTTTGATACCAATTTCTACTCAAGACCCCGAAGGTAGTGATAGTAAGAAGTATACTAGTAAGAACACACAAGAGAATTGTTCACACAGGCAGTGCAGGAATGCAGGCAAGTACTCAGACACTCATATACGTGGTTCAAAAGAGAATCACTCTGATAAAGTGCAGCGGACGGGGGTTACAAAGTAAATATATACTCTTCTTAGAGAGTTTATTCCAAATAAACAAGTTAACCACAACAAAAATAACTCTAATATATTATCTTCATATCAAAATTTTATATAATAAACTATATGAACATATGAAACACGATTTCAAATTTTATATAGTTCTCATTGTCAAAAACTATCACATGTTGCAAGTTATAAAATGAAGTAAACTTATGTTGAATTTTATTTAATTTTTAAATATGCGAAAAATATTCATATGAAAATTATTTTAACAGAGTTGTTTAATCATATGATTCTCAACTAAGATTATTATTTGTTTTAAGATGATTTTTAACTATTTTTAGATAATATAATTTGAAAAAAATCATGTATACAAAAGTATAGTTAGTAAATGACAAGAGATCAACTTTGAATATAAAAGAATAGAGTATTATCCTCAGTATTCCTTAGAAGTATTAAAAAAACGGTTTGGAACTGTAAATTACATCAGCAAAAAATTTCTCATGTAACACAATATTCAATGTTAACGTGACTCAAACTAGAAAACATATTTATAACTCAAAAATAGATCAAGTTACATACAATTCATCTGTCTCATTCTAGGCGGTAATACATTTTATGTTTCACATCCTAAGTTGAGATTTAATAATTTTAATTTCACTCAAAATAATAAATAATTCTTACAGGTAAATACTCCTAGGCTATCTACATTGCAGTATTTTTTAATGTAACATACCGATAATTTGGATTATTCTTGCAAGCTATAAACGTGAAGAGATAGAATGTACGCTTGATTTTTTAGATTTGTAAATTTTAACACATGCAATATTTCCAATCTCGCAGAGTTTATTATTGAATAGAGGTATTAAAACATTTGATTTTGAAAATAGATTGGAATAATAACAATAATCAACAACAGATAAATTTCCAGAGATATAACAAAACAACGTGATTATAGCCTTGGTATCATCCTTGATGGGCTCATCTCATCCTGTTCTTTCAGTACTTGCCCATTTCCCTTCGTCTGTAGTAAGACAGTAGTTCCCAGCGCACAGCGAAATTTATCATCGAGAAGCACTCGAGCTAAGCTTTCGTTTGTACCGACAAATTCGCTGGCTGAAGGATCGATGTTCAGTGCGAGGCAACCTGATTTATGCCAGTGGAGTGGACGATTGTAGGGAAGCAGGACTGGATTTTAGGGATTGCGAGAGGAGTTTCTGAGGTATGTGACCCCGTTGAGGCTGTCGCGTCCTCGCAGTATTTGCATGGAGGCTCGAAGATGATGGCTTCTCCTGGCGATTCTGATTGCTGATTATTTTTCTCTAGCAGGAGCATGGCAGCTAGCGGGGCATCAAGTGGCTTGGCAAAATGGGCTTCTGAGCTAGCTAAGGGCGTACATGGCTACTGGGCCAATGGACGATGGACGCCGCTGGCGATCAGTGCGCGACGCAGGGCAAAAATTCGGAAAGAAACTCTTCTATCTGGCGGGTCTGGTTCAGTTTCTGTCCCACATTCGTCCTCTGTTCGTAGTTCATCAAAAAAAATTCCTAGAATTTTTTACCGATAGAATTCTATTTTTTTCGCATGTGAATGAATTCCGAGGCGATCGGTGGTTGATTCTGTGAAGTATTGCACCGAGATGGTACCAGGTTGAGACAGTTCCTACTGTAGGATGTGAGAGCTTGTTATCTCGACGAAAGGTACTCTGGTCCGGTTCTGATCCACACTAATTCTAAGATTTCGATTTCACCATCTAAGAAGGATGATGGATCTGCATGGTTGGATGATACATTGCAGAGAGTGGACTTATGATGCCGAACGAAAGGAGATGAAGACTTTCCTGAAGGGCCACAAGGTCGACCGTTTGGCTGAACAAAAGTAAGTATAAGTCTGTTATTTTGTTACGGAAGATGTTAGATGTTTTTTTCCAAAGTCGATCTGATTCCTTTATGCAACAAAACCAGGCGTGCCAAGACCGTAGAGCTAATGGAGAAAATGCCTCAAATGCTTGCTGAGATGAAGGTACGAACTCTCCTGCATGCCTACTTGTTGATATCAAATTCTGAATGTATGGAAGATTCTCATTTTTTTGAAGCAACAGCTTGTGAATCAGAGAATGTCTATACATTCTCTGATTAGAAGAGAATAGAACTGTCTGGTTCATCGCTATCTTAAGTGGCAGCTTCTTCGTGGACGCATACTCCTAACTTTGGCCTCCTGGACCTGGCCCTGACGAGACCAGACAAACTGCCAGGCTAATTCATCACCATATATTTAGCTGCATGTAATAGAGAGCCGATGCCTCCTTGTTTACTTCTTCTCTTGGTTGCCGAGTGGTGAGCCCGATGTCCTGCTGCCCCGTCCCATTTCGTTCCCGAGCCCCCACCTTTTCCGTATCCCCTGTGCTGTGATCGCCATATTTCGTTGCATCCCTCCTCCCTCTCGCTCTCATTTCATTTCCTTACTGTTTGCCTCCTTGCCTGCTCTCGATCTCCTTACCCTTTACATTTGTACTTTGTGTATACCTTCAATAATATCATTCTAGACGGAAAGTAGATATGACTTTTGGGTTATCGGCAGCTTGCACGAAATAGTCATGAAGTTAAAAGTTCAGGTCTTTAGAGTATTGATGAAAACCTACACTATACTATCGTAAGTTCTGAATAATGCGTTCAAAACAAACAAGTCATCATGTAAAGCTGGATGGTTTGTATGTAACGCAGTCGATGATGAGACGAGCTTTTGTATAAATTATGCATCTTGTTGAGAGCTTTCTTCGTAGACTTTAGAGAGGTTAGAGATGTGTTTGTTGTTACTCGTTCGCATGCGCGTAGTTTTGTTGATACTTCACTTTTCTAAGTGTAAGGGTCTATCCCTTGTTCTGAATTCTTAAACGGATGTTTCGAAAACTTCAACCAATCAAATGCCTCGAGCCAGGCAGAAAGGCATGGCAGATGGGGTTGTCAATGACGTGAAGAATAAGGTAGTATAAAGTGAGAAGTACATTGCTAGCGTCCGTCTAGGGAACTCCCACTGGTGGATGATATGGAGGCTTTTGCGGATGTCTTGCAGAAGAGGAGGCTTGAGAGGACCTTGAAAGCGAAAACAGAGAAATGAAAATGAAGGACTTTGCAGTAAAATCTGCGCTATGCTTGATGATACATTCGGCACACCCATATGAGCTCGATTGAAAGATCTTTCGCGTAGTGCATCATGTTGGGCCTGAACGAAGAGGTTGGGCGTGGTTTGAGCAAATTCAGCTGATTACGGGACTTGAGTAGTATTTTTATACGTCGTGTCAGTCAGCTGAGCTCAGCACCATCATCTGAATCTGAGTCAGCAGAATCCAAGATAATTTGGTTTCATGTGACTCGGTTATGTGCCAACCAATGCTCTCATCCATATACATTTCTCACGTATTTCATGACAATAAATGTCATGAGGTGCCTATTCTACCCTCCTCTGCACTTTCAGTCGTCAGGTTTGGCGGTTAGACACATTCTGGTTGTCAAGGGCCGACAATAGTTTGTATCTCGAGCCATAGCTTTTCTCCTGCACGTGTCACGCTCTCATATTACAGTATATCTTGCATTCACTTGATGTATTCTTCCAAGAATGTGAAGACATCGTATGAAAGTTGGAAAAATATTGTGACATTTGCTCTCTTTGGCTCTCTGTTTCAAGGATGACTGCTTGTTTGGTCCGTCTATTTGTCTTGTGTTCGTCCAACACATTATACAGAATGATGGAATGATAGTTTCCAAGATATCATGCAGTCTTCTGAGAACACGTCAGGACGAACTTTGGCTGCGCTACTTTAATAGTATGTACGTGTACGCTTAACGCTGAATCAAGAAAGGCACCAGCAACAGAAGTTGATATAAGTTTAGACCGTAAGGCTGTTCTCCTTTAATTTGGTCATTGATAGATATACACAAGCGATGAATACTAAAAGATATTTCTGAGTTCATGCTCTATGCTCGTTATACAGAGAGAGCGAGTGTGACATTTACATGTAAGCCTCTCCAGCCGACTGTGATTCCTTGGATTTTTTACGCAAATTGCAGCGTTTTTGGGTTGTTGATCTTTGTCCCTTATATCACATCTGCATGTCATGCAGATGTGGTAGATGGTGCAATCTAATATTAATAATCTAATATCTAAACTGATATTCCCTTATTATACTCCCTTATATCACATCTGCATAGATGCAGTCTCCGTGACGTAGTAACCTAGAATTTTAAAACCTTTACCACTTGTCCCGAGCACTGAAAGTACCCCTGTTCTATCTCTTGTACAGAAAGTTCGAAGGCCCTCGCCGTTCCTCATATTTAGTTTCGATGAAGAGTTACAGGGTCGAATTATCAATCTTCCGGTAGTCCGATCATGTAGGTACTGGGAACGTGGGTTAACATACCTGAATTATTGCTGTGGCAATTCTATTTGTTGATTCGCAATCGAGTCATTTTTACCCCTCTTTAACGTGGAAAATATTTATGTACAGCCTACCGTATGTTACTTCCATCAGTGCTTGGTTTCTATGTCATCACGTGAAACCAAGATTCTCTCGAAGTATCAACCTGTCAGGTCCATGGGCCAAGACAGTTGTATGCAGGTTGGATTGTCGGTGAAGAATGAATAAGGAGGAATTGTAAGCTTCGATCATTGACTAAGGTTCGAGTCAGCCTAACCCTGGATTTCGCCCCAAACCACAAATCCACTCATGACCTCCACGAAGATCACTGCCCTTGAGTCAATATTCCGAAGGACCGAGTACAAATGACGTCTTAGACGGCACGTTTCTCAAGAATTTGCCTGAGGAGAACCAAATCTGGTGAAACACCTGCACAGAATCATCTGAAGCTTCGAGGTGTCCAATATGCCGTATCATACTTGGTGCACGACACTGGGTCGTAACTGTCGAGAGCCATTGGAGTTAATCAGGAGTCGGATTATCGTGATGCGTGCAGGTACTTTGTTGTGCCTTGAACTAGTCAAACATGCGGGCCTCCCTTAATGTCTATGGCCGCTGAGCTAGTTTAGGCCAGTTTCCGAGGTGTATGGATAGTACGAGAAGGCTTCGTTTTTTCAATTGTTACCTCGTAATGCTTGAGCTCGTCGGTATGAGGAGACGAGTGAATTTCAAAAGAAGAACTGATAGCGCATATTCGGGGCTGGAGGGGAAAAAACTTTGTCGCCATGAATGCTAAGACAGTGGCACTGCGCTGTGATGGAGTGAGAGTCTCACTCCAGTACAGAAGCAAGTGTTTCAGTCAGAAGGTTCTCTTGAGAGGCTGGGCAAACTGCACACACTCAAATCCGTGTACAGAGCAAGTCACAAGTTCTAAAGAGGAGGTTGATGAGATCTTAAGATCTACTTTAAGATCCAATTTCATGCATCTCATCCATGTAGTGGGAACCTTTGCACGGACAATCTGGGTCACGTCAGAACTCTTCGACGAGAACAATTGAAAACCGTGCGACCGATTCGTGCAAGTACAAAAGTAGCAACAACCGTGAATTTCCACAGCCTACCTCGCCATATCTAGCAAAGAAGAGGAGGATGCCAGACGGGAAAAGGGAGCGCACGAGTCTTTCCCGTCAGCGTGATCCATGTCGAGCTGGTCTATACCTTCCTCGCGTACGTTAGGCAGGCATCTGGGCAGAGTCTTGCAACATATCAACAGACAACATTGCAACATTGACGCTGCCTCTGCGGACGGGCATTCAGAGAATAAGGATCATGGATGCAGAAAAGTACTGTAACAAGATCAGCTCAGCTCTGAACTGAAGAACATGGATCTTTGTGTACGATAGCACGGAATCACGACGACGAGCGAGTGGAGCGTTGAATCCAGATCGAGCGAGTTCGACTTGCTGGCCATAAAGCTGAGCAGGAAGGAAGCCAGTACGAAGTGGGTTATCATCAGTCTGATCATTAAAGGGACAGCACAGGATATGACAAGTACAGAATGGAGGCGATGGAATCGATCTGGTCAGTTTCTGTAACGCGATTCGAAGACCAATTGGCTCGACTTGCCCCAGCTGTTACTCCAAACAAACATGATGTGACATCCTCAGCGGTGTCAAATTCAGTGAATAATCGTAAGCAATCGTCAGTTCACAGTCGAAGTGACATAGATTGGAGGAGTTCACATCAGTCCACTAACTACTCTCGGAAAGAATCATCTGAAACATTCGTACTTCACCGAAGTGGGTGGCTGTAATAGATGCCAAATTTTATAGGTGCGCAAAAGGTTCCGATTTCAAGCGGAGAGATACGAACCTCCTTTTGTTCAGCGAAAGACCAAAGCTTTCTGACAGCGGCAGCAGAAGAGGGAGACCATTGCAGAATATATCGAGATTGCGAATTCCGGTGGGACAAGTTCAGAACCGAGGTATATCTATCTTTTTCTGTACTAAACCCCGAAGATGCTCATCAAATTCCGTGAACAATAACAACAGTAGTAAGTGAGGTACTCGAATCTGTCATCCACTCATGCTTAAATAATGTGTCCTATTATTCCTTTCAGTGGTGGTTCAGGGTTTAAGGAGTTCGCTTTCAGTCGATTACGGCGGATATTTACTGCAAATTAAACAACTCAATTCTCTGTCCAACTAAGCTTTGGTTACAAGTTGGAGTTATGATGTCCCCATCTTCCCGGTGGTGTGATTGGCTTGAAAGTGGCTTACACTGTCCTTGTGGGATGGACTGCAGATTCAGGGTAGGAGATTTTGAGTCTCCGATCAGAGAATGGCCAATAGCTGCAATCTAACTGAAAGAGAACAGTGAATGGAGATGCAAGAGTGCACAAAGACACGGACGTCTCTGAGTCTGCACCAATGTAGTAAATCTGAAGAGGGAGTCAAGACAGTGAAATACGCCTGTCTATTTTTACGATCCTTGGTCAGCTTAACGAACATAAATCTAATGTGGCCAACTTCCGTTGTATAGTGGAGCTCTTTTGAGGATCATGAATATGGTAGGATCTCATGTGTTATACTTTGTATCCTTTGATATATATAACACATGAGCGCAGTAATGTTATTTTATATACTATCAAAAGTTGTTGTAAAACGTTTGATTTTTATTAGTAAGATACAGTAGATGATGACATACATGATGTAATCTTTAGATCTTGTCGTGATATTATAGATTGGTTTTGTAAGGAGTGATCAGAGTTTTACATCGTCTTTACTTACATATGGCCACTTTTCTTTTATAAATAATAGTTGGCTACCCATGTTGATTTAAAATTCATCCACTATCAACGATAATTAAGCTTTGAACATGATAACAAGCCGCATCAAAAGAAATAATTCTTGTTGAGATTTTCTTCAGATACTAAACAATCTATAGATATTTTGTTTCAATTCTATATAACTTGATATGATATTTCTATCAATATGTTAATTATATAGTTTTCATTCGAATTCAAGTAAAAGTTGAACAAGAAGTGTATTGTTCAAATATATTTCAAATGTTGATTAACTCTAATTATTTACACCACAGTTAGTTACTTCAGATAATAATTAATTTGGATATTGATAAATTCATGGTTAGTTTCACTATAGTTAATTATTTCAAGTATTAATTGTTCCTCGTTAGCTTCACCATAGTTAGTTAGTTCAGATATATTGACATTATAGAAGCAACTCCTAATAAAACAAATTCAAGTCTGTTTGGTTTAGTTGTAAGTCTAATGATCTAAACTGGCTTAATTTAGTCACACTAGAAGAATTTTGTTTTGACTTAGTTCAGGCGGTGTGTAAATGTGAGTTTTATTAAGACTTTGGATTGCAAATCATTGCTCAATTTGCTCAATGAACATCCACTATTTTGACTAAAGCACACATTCCAATCCAAACTTCTACATGCTCTTGCTCTTGCGGAAGTTGTTTTCTTCCATCATAGAATTGAAAAATCCAACTCCAAAGTGATGTTCTAAGGAAATAGAATGGCCATGACACCACCAAACTTCATTAAGTTTGGAAATTTTAATCCAATTAAACTTCAATCATCTTTGAAGACTTATTGACTAAAAAACACATTGATGTTCTTCTTGAGTACAAGCTGAGATTTATGAACATGAAATATAAGCTTATCCTAGTCAAACGATTACATTAGTATACTTTGTCAAATAAATTTGTCAGCAGATAAATTGACAAGTTGTGAGTTAGCATAGTTAGAAAAAAGATTTATGAACATGAAATATAAGCTTATCCTAGTCAAACGATTACATTAGTATACTTTGTCAAATAAATTTGTCAGCAGATAAATTGACAAGTTGTGAGTTAGCATAGTTAGAAAAAAGATAGATTGACTAAAGCGTTAATGTTTGCATTTCAGGGGAAATACATTTTGTTAATTTGATCGCAATTGATTACATAAATCAAAACAATGTCGTTTCAAAGTTTGCTCTATTGGCTTTGATTGACTTCATCAACAATAGATTTAGTTCAAGGAGTCATGCCATTGACAAACTTTTGGATAGAATACAGTGTCACAACACAACTATTGCTGATGACATAATTCAATGCATCAAGATTTGTAAATGCGTTAGAAGTAAACGGCTCAATAGCACCAACATCATCAATAAAAGAGTCAACGAGATCATTCAAGACAAATTGCTGTTGATCTAATAGCGTCGTCAAATCTTGAATTGAGCGAAAAGTAATTGCTAGTCTTGAGTTAAAATGATGCATAACAAACACACACATCCACCATATGCAAGACGAAGATGGTTTTATAGATTCAATATGTGCAAGCAATTGAGGTTGATAAATATTGAACCACTTATAATCTTCTCTATCGATAGTGAGCAATTAACAAATCAAGAACAAGTTAATTGCAAATCAGTTATTAAATTTTGTTATTGTACCAAATGAGTTATGAAGACGATTATGATAGCAAAGAAGCGATACTTCACAATATTGTTTATAATGTGTTTCATAATGAGGTTTAATTGATTAGTTCCACATCAAACTCAAACTAGAGTACAATTGTTATGCATCGCATTGTTGGGTTGAATGATATCATCAGCAACAGGGTCAGTCATGTTGAGAAGTTCATAAGAAGTCAATGTAACCATCTTTAGTTAGTAAGAACTAAAGTAGAGATTACTCTAAATGTTGATATAGATACTTTAGAGTACACTTGTTGTAGCTGCCACGTCAGCGATCCGCACGCTTGGTAGGTAGAGAGTATGTGTGCTAGTTGAGTGTGTTAGTTAGTGTGTTAGTTGGGAGCGCCACGTCAGCGATCCGTGTGCTTGTTAGAGTTATTCGCCACGTCATCCATCCCACTCCTAGTGGATGGATGGTGAGTATAACATCTTATCTCTTTGTACTTGTTGATGAGAGCTATATAAAGGAGAGTAGAACCATTGTTGGTATCTTTCATCTTTAGAGTTTACATTTCCATCTTCAAATGAACTTCTCTCTAAACCCTAGTGTTAAAGTCAAGCCGAGTAAATTAACTTTCCGATTAAGACAAAAAAATCCAAAAAAAATATAACCATCCGGAACATGACATTGACAATGTGCGTATACAGCATTGAGTTTTATGTTGCATGAAAATTAACAATGTTATGAAATACAGACCAAAAGATTCAAAAGTGCAAATCAAGATACGAAATATTTTGATCTGTTCTCTAATTCATAACAATAAAAAATTTCTAAGCATGAGGTAGTTGATGAGACCTACGTTGCAGATTGATAGCACATACAATTTGATGAAGTTGACGATGTTATTTTGAGAGCAAATTTGCATGAGAGTATTGTGTTGAACATTGTAAGTGAAGTTTAATATGATGTTATCAACCAAATTGAAGCGCCGCATGTCACGTATCGTATTGCTTATTGAAACACAATGATTTTTGTATTAAGCATAGTGACTAAATTGGCATAATTGATGTCGCTCTTGTCATTCTCTTGCTACTTCACGCGCTAAAATAATTAAAAGGCTCGTATTTTTTTGCCAGTGCTTACTTTTGATCACGTTGGCAAATTACAATATAGCTTTCATCCTCATTAACAAATGATATTCCTTTGCATCTCAATCCAAATCGTTTTTGACAACAATAGCTGATAAAACATCATGTCGCAAACAATCACATCCACAATATATTATTCAATGTGTCGTGCGAATACATATCGCCATACACTCTACATCGCTGACATGGTACTCACATACACATACGCACACACATACACACATATAAGACGCGAGAGAGTACACACTCAAACGGAAATAAACGGGAGTGAAATAAACGGGAGTATTCCCACTGGAATTCCCGTCGGTCAATTACCCTACTGGCAACAAACCATCACCGTCACAAACATGAGTCAAGCCCAACCCACTCCACATTCGGAGAATCTAGGTCGACGCAAAAGGGAAAGTCGCTCTACGCTCCCGACGCTTCCAGGCTCGACTCGAAGAACTAACGTTCTTCGAGCCGTCCCCGACTGTATACCCCTCGTGACCCGAACCCTAACTTCACGTCTAAATATAGTAAGTGTCTAAACTACGTGAGCCGACTCGTAACTACATGACAAATGTCCAACACACATTGACGCTTAACACCAAGACATGAAGATAAAAAGTGCGTCTTAATAGAACTTTTGAACAACATCGACACATTGAATAAGCATAATTGACGTCGCTCTTGTCATTCTCTTGCTACTTCACGGGCTAAAATAATTATAACGCTCGTGTTTTTTTGCCAATGCTTCCTTTTGATCACGTTGGCAAATTACAGTATAGCTTTCAGCCTCATTAACAAATGATGGTCCTTCGCATCTCAATCCAAATCGTTTTTGACAACATTAGTCGATAAAACATCATGTCGCAAACAATCACATCCACAATATATTATTCAATGTCCAACACACTTTTACGCTTAACACCAAGACATGAAGATAAAAAGTGCGTCTTAATAGAAATTTTGAACAACATCGAGACATTGTCGAAGAAGACGTTGATCATCAGCTGTATTGAGATGGCTGTGCAAAGCAAAGTGTGCAAAGCACACTTTGTAGTATGTTGAGTGTTAAATTGACTTTCAATATTTTTGTAGCAATTAGAGTAGCATCATCCTTGTTCATCGATTGTAGACTTGCGCTTCGCGTCCACCTTCTCCTCGCGTTCAAAGCAATGTAGAATCGCTTAGAAGCCATGTAACACCTTTCACTCCTCCCAATAACCAACTACACATCTCTCGCGAATAAGTAGGCACGTTGGCGCAATCTAGTTTAGGTAGTTTAGATGGCGCGGCCACCAACCGCCTACATATTAAGAAAGTTTTATAATTTTTCATTGAAGTACTTGTGTTCACTTAATATCTCTCGAGATGATCACTTATGTCTTTGCTCAACTAAGTGGTTTGTGTTTGCAAGATGGATGTATGATAAATGACCTGCATATATGAAAGTACATAGTCTTTGCAAAGCATGCTATGCATATATAAAATAAATGTCACTTCTTATTCTCATCAAGGATCTGAGAATATTCACAAACATGGAATACACTTCCCAAGAACTCTCTAGATTTTTACAACATTAGATATATCATATGTTATCACTGCATCCATTAATACTTGAATCAATTAAGGGCTTTCATGTTAGGCTTCCATGTTCTCTTCGGGTCTTCTACTATGCACTCTCCCCCGTCGATGCACTTTTCCATCACATTTTTTTTAAAAGATTGATAGCCATACGGCGGTTCACTTTATCAACAAGATGAAAAATCATTTATTCGGTATTGAACACTCGTGTGTCATGGTAATGGAAGGGTAGAATTATGTTGGAACTAGAGGACGAGCGTAGAAGTTTCAAAGTGTCGACGCATATGCTCTTCGTGTGGAGCCATGAGGCTACAGAAGTCAGGAAGGCAGAAGTTAGTTCGAGTCCATATTGCCATTGGCATAGAGAGATAGATGCACACCGTTCAGAGCCCACCGCAAGTCATGATGTTGTTGTTGCTGCTCCACATTCCATTGACTCTCACATCGAGGTGGCTCGAGAAGTCTTCATTCATCTTCCACCGGCAAAATTTCGTCACAAGAGAGACACCAGAGTCAACAACAAAGGTACTTACCCCACCCACACACTGTGGACATCGGTGATCCATTTGTGTAAGATTCGTGCCCTGGAGAAAACCGGCAAAAACATTGGATCCGGGTAAGCAATACTCTCACCTTCGAATATACAGTGGTGAAATATTCTCGATATACAGATGTCGGTTTGTACATGTGTTTTGAGTAGTGATGAGACCCACTGAAACTGCAGGTCTTTGTCGTACTTATTCGTCGAATATTTAGTACCGTGGATGATCGATAATATTCAGCAAACTCATGTGAAGTTCCTCTAGCGACGAGCTCCAGTTCCTTGGTACTGGTCATCGACGCAATTTCTAGGATATGCGATGAAAACCCGTTGAATGAAGCACACATGTCCATGATTGTTCTAGATATTATCTTTGGCTGATACTGGTGGACTGACTGAGGGAAGCTTTCCTGTTGTTCTGTAAGAGCCTCTGATTTGAGTGAGTTAATTAGATTCTCCTCCAGGTCTGCACCTGTGCCCTCTCATGGATGGGAAGGACCAGCCTAAATAATAGAATTGTTCAAAGGGGCATTTACCTGATCAAAATGGTAACAATTGCTCTGTAGAAAAGATGGTCCAGGTGGAAAAGAGTCACCAGGATTCCATATTGAGGAAAAACAAGACACATGGAATCTGCACGACGGACCAGTAAAGGAAAGAGAAGATGAAGAGGTTTGGGATGCGAATAAATCTCTGAAGGAAAACCACTGTCAAGCGATTGTTTACGGTTTTCCTTCTCGCGTCTCTAAAGAATGAAGGACTCATTTTTTTTACACCCAATAGCATGTAGTAAAGACCACCCAAAAGCAGAGCATTGTCCAAAAGGAGCACGTAGGGAGCCGGAGCCTATTGAATATTTGCATGTGGGATGAATCACGAATGAGGTAAGAAAGGAATGTTTCATGAATTGTAGGTGAGGAAATTCCGGTACGAGCGTGCACAATGATTTTGGGTGTCTGAATGTAGCGAATGTCTCTCTGTCTGAGATCGGGAGAATGTTGAGAAAGGACCAGGATGTATCTGGCTGCTAGATAAAACAGATTGTATCACATCGGGAGAGTGGAATTGTCACGAATACATTTTGGACGTGTGAGGGCCACAACAAAAGGCCTCAAAACGAACGGTCAAACCAGAAAAAGGCAAGCAGGGCCAGAGGATTTGACACAGAAGATGCGATTTGTAGATAACTCGGAACGGCCGAGCATTGAATGACAAGACTCCAGTTACTATTTTTGCCCACATTCCATTCCATTACTTCCTTTCTGTGAAGTGACAGTTCCATTCTTCCCAGCTCGTCCGGTGGGCCCCAGATCTGCACCGTATTCTTCCTCCTGTCTCAGCATGCAGATCTTTTTCTACAATTACCTGCTCTCAGAGGAACAAACAACCAGAAACGAGGAGAAAGCAATGCCTCTCAGTTACTCCGTTCGGTTGCGGTAACGGGATGTTTAACATCCATCGGCCGTTCGGAAAATTCGCTTCTACGGTCTACCTCGAGTAAGATTGGTATTTTGACAGACGTAGTCAAAGCACCAGACTAACCTGGAAAGTAAGTCTGGGTTTCAGACATGCTTGAGAAGCTAAAGTCGGAGGGGTTACTGCCAACACCAATTACACATGACAGCAGTTCCCTCCCATTGTCTTCTCGTGTCCCTAAGATGAGTTGATGAGCCAATAAGACTTTGACTCAAAGTCTTATTCGAACTGTTAAATCCAATAAAGAGGGCAGTCCTGCACTCCTTCCTTTTATCCAACCACTTCGAGGCGGGGACGTTCCATCTTCATTATCTGCATAACGGGGCTTTGGCGAGCTAAATCAGTGAAGCTTTGGAGCTCCGAAATCTGTCTAAAAGCTTCTCCAGCTCTCAAATCTCTGTGACGTAAATAAGACTGACTAGTAAGGCAAGGGTAATGGTAATGGCGACAAAATACTCATGAACCCACACCTCGACCTATATATGAATATGATTTATGTGGCGATAAAATTCTATGATTTATCCCTCCGTGATGTCACCTAAAAATCACACTTGGTGTCAAATATTCTGATTGAAGACGAAGGATATCTTTAGCGCAGACTTCTTCCACCATGTCTCGGTTAGTCCCGTCGTCCATAATATATATCGTGGAGGGAAACTCTCACAGCGAGAACAGTCTACGAGACGGAAGAGTCTGTTGGGGGCGAACAAGACAGCAGACAGCAGTGAATGGGATGGGAGTAAAATCCCCCCTCGTTCTATACTTGTGAATTCACAAGTGGCATTTTTTGGGGTGTGATGGAATGAACGGGACAGTTGGAAATAGTGTCTTTGGAGCATGAACCCACACCTCGACCTTGCGAAATTCTCCTCGTCCGAATGAGAGAAGTGTGGCCGATGGAAGCCCGATGCCGCCTGGATTTTCCCCTGCTTTATTAGGGGGTGCGCTATAATAAGACCCGGCTAGCACGGGATACTAGTTTGCCGAAGTGGCGGTGGTGGTGGAGGTGTGGATGGTGCAGACAATTTCTCAGTTCTCGATATGGAGTTAGACCAGTTCGTCGAACAACAGGTCATGCTTTTATGTGCCTCGGTAGATTCGAACAGTGAGCATTTCGCGCAGCCAGATGGCCGGCCAGTGGGAATGGAAACAACGCAGCGTTGTCCTTTCCCTCTCGAGTTTGAAACAAACAATTCGCCTCTGCCCGAGACGAGCCTTCTCAGAGGAGCAAGCAGATCACAAGAATTTGCAGAGTGGTTCTAGTGCCGCCTGATCTCAAGTTGCCTTCCTCATCCAGTACGATGATAGAATGAACTGAACAGTGCAGGAGGAATAAAACCGGCCGGTCAGCCTCGAGAAAATCTTCCATCTTCCAACTTCTGCCTGCACATGAAGGAACGCCCCGGAAGGGAAGTATGTCACCCATCGACTCGTCCCGTCGCCTCATACGAGTACGGGATGAGCGGGCACAGAGAATCCATGCTATAGTATGAGTGTCTGACTCACCGCCTGACCCATCAATGGCCCGAGCTTCGTTCGGTACCCCAACAGTAGTCCTAGGCACGCACGACAAAGCAAAGCTGTCAGCCATGTCTGGAATTTACTATTAGCGGAGATCCGATTTGTAGAGAGTAGAGATAGATAGGCGCGACGAAGAACCAGGCCATGAGAAGGTTAGAGTAGTAGGTGCGGCCTCGTCTCACTGTAGAGGCGTGTGCCTTGTTGACAGCAATTCAAATCGGTATGCGAGCGATCGAGAGAAAGAGAGAGAGAGAGAGAGCAGAGAGCAGAGATCCAGTCAAAAGCTTTAGGGGCTTGAGCATCAGAGTTGTGGGCTTTGTCCATGGCGGGCGGACTCGTGCCAAAGTACGAAGGGAACGCACGCTCACTGATGATGAAGACAAAAGTTGGAGGACAGAAAAGAGTAGACCTCTAACAACAGTCCTTGCGAGACGGGCTGGCGAGAAGGTGAGGGAGAGATGGAGAGAGAGAGAGAGAGATGGAGACCAGAGGAGAGAAGAGAAGAGTACTGTTGGGCCTCCTGTCAAGCAAGTGGGGCCCTGAGTATGAGAGAGATGGGGGGGGAGAGAGAAAGAGAGAGAGAGAGGAGAAGAGGGAGCTGGAGCATCGCAGAGCGCACTCACACATTCAATTCTCGGGCCAGGATTTGAGAGAACGAGGGAAGGTGTGTACCTCAGACAGGGCAGACGGCGGAGCACTGCAGACTGGACTGAGCCGGACCGGCGTGGGAGGTGGGGATTCAGCAGACACCCGTGATAATCCGACACTACGGAATTGTAGCGCATCCTACGCTTCGGGCACGTGGGTCGGTTGAACGAGAGGGTCCATTCAGCGATACGCCTGCTGCGTCTACAGAGCGGTATTTGGATTCGACATTCGAGACTTGCTAGAGTTTCCTCCCTCCCACGCCCAACCATAGCTCAGCGTCAGAGTCTCCTTCTGAGCTCGAGATCTCCCTCGTAGCTACCCCAATCGAATTCCTTAGCGCTTCCTCGTGTCATTACGACGCATGGCCCATGGTATACCGAATTTACCTCGGACCCTGTAGTTTGAAATCTGCAGCGAATTCACATACAGTCGAATTTTACGAGCCTGAAAGTTGGGACAAGCCATTTGCCGATTGGTAGTCCGAGGGCATCGTGTGAGCATCTGATAGCCCTGGACCCAACGAAATTGGTACGAGCATCAACAAAGCTCATTTTACACCATCTCGTCTGCTGAGTAGCATCATCAACTTCTAGGGCCTCTTGTTCGTTTGTTTGAGTGTCGAATCGACATGCATGTAGCGGAGCATGCCCCACCTCTGCACACTGCGGGGCCTCCGCCCGAAGCCTGTGAGGCTTCGTCTCCAGATTTCATGCAACAAAAGGCCATCGAAAGTCTAGCTTCTCACTTTGATAGACTTGCAGGTCCCGGTAAATCATCCGCCGGTGGCTCATATCCAATCATTTTTTACTTCCGTTTGGTTCCGAAAGCTTGATCGCTCCATGTAAAGATGAATTGATCAGCTTTTCAAGATTCCTACCGCAACAAAAGTGCATATGTGTGATGGCCCCAAGCAGCTTCGGGGTTTGTACCTGTAAGCGAAAGGCGACTGGCACAAGCTCAAAATTGCAGAGAAATCTGCTAAAGAATGTGTAAAATACTCGAAGCCTCACTCACTGAACGCGAAGAGGCGTTACGATCCTAGATTTTATCTTCGCGGAGTCTGACTCAAAATATTGTGGTACTACACGATTTTCTGGAATAAACTCGGCGAGGACCGATTCATACATTGCTGGCGTGGTCATCAATATTTGAATTGATTATCTTCCGAAGGTCTGATCGAAAGATTCTCGGGGCTTTTCTCAGCAACAGGACACGCTCTCTCAGCACATTTAGCTTACTACATCCAGTTCTCTAATGTGTCTTGAAAGCCACCGTGATATTAGCAGTACTCTGAACACATCACTTCTACAACCCAAGAGCCGGAATCTAAGTAGAGCTGTTAATAAAATGCACTTTGCACACCCGACAGTAATTCTTGACAGTGGTTGAATTTGCATATTGACGTTAATTACATCACTTTCGCCACCGATAAGAATGATCAATGTATTACGAGGCGGCAGCAATAGCCTCAAGGTTTTTAAGTTTCTTGCAGAGTGGACCTGCCGTGTTTGTAAATTGTGAGCTCTCTTGAAAAAACCGACATGTGTCCTACATTCTGGGTGACTCCTCGAGTGCTTCAGACTTTGGAACTGCATTCCAGGTCGAGATCACGATCATACTCGAATTTGGTTACAGAGAGAGAGCCTCGAGAATTGCAGGTGGTTGATACAAGAGAAACCTGTAACTTACTCAGTCGCCTTCACATAATCACTCACTGGCTACCGGTGACTGGAATACGAGGGGCACGAAAAGAGAAATATCTCGACCGATGCACAGGACGAATTCCTACTCACCTAATTCGAACTGTTTGTCTTCAATTATCGAAAGTCCGAAGCGAATTGATTAATCTAAGCAGTCAGAGATTAGAATACAAACGCATGTATCACGTGCCGGCGTGATACGAAGGGTTCCCTGCGTGAAAATCGTAACACGACGAAGATTACGTGTCATTGGCGCTCACAGAGCCCCGTAGATGGACCGAGGTACGATACCCCTTACGATCCCCCACCCCACTATCAGTTCAGACAGTGCAACGAATGGCATGGTCAAGGCGGGTCAAGTCAACAAGCTGGATTGTTCCCACGGATGTGAGCCGAGGGGTCCATTCGAGTCAAATCTCGAGCTGACTGGCCAATCTCAGTCAAACCACTTCGGCCTCCGACGTAACAGTAGAGCGCAAGTAAATGACATTCTCACATGAGTCACAGTCGCACTGTGACTCATGTGAGATCTGCACAGACACAGAGAGAGAGAGAGCACGGAAACAGCAATCAGGAGAAAGGAACGAGCTGCGCGGTTGAGAATTGCAGTCGAGTCAGCGGGGGATCTGGATCGTGAACGAAAATCCGGATGACAGTGAGATGAGAATTTCGAGAGAGCGAAGCAAGACGGGATGGGACTACTTTACGGTCGGTCCGCCGGCCACTCTGGCAGAAGAGATAGAGAGAGATTTATGCGAACGATCTTCGGAAGTACTTGGGCCTGTGCAGATTTTTGCGGAGAAGACATCAGAGTGCTGCTACAGCACGAGCATCTTCTCCTTTCCCTTCTTCAACTCCTCTAAGCATGAGACACGTGAAAAAGTTGTCGACTTGCTTGGACATGGAGCAGTTGCGAGATCTCCTTCATGCACTGCGCTAACATCGGAGATGATCGGACCGTCCTCTCGGCTGTCCGACGATATAATCAATTTTTATAACGTAAAAAATTAACTCCACCAACCGAGATTTCTATCACCCTGAAGCCGAAGGTTTTTACTATCACACGAGTGAACTAGAAAGGTCCAAACCACTCACTCCCCCGGGGGTCGAAACATAATTACACTCCTCGGGTGACAGCCACAACGCTCCACAGACAGACAGACATTCGAAGATAAGACTAAACTGGGTAACCAGCATGCGGTGGCTCATGGTCACTCCCTCCAGCTTTCAAGGTGCAAGGCGAGACTCGCACAGCGTAGGTGTCCCCCCCTAGACCTCCCATCCATCCAGTCCAGTATTTTATTGCATTTATCTGCGACGAGGCATATGCAGACAATATCCCTGATTTTGCTGCTGCTGAGGCTCTTCGCATGCTGCAACTTACTCTCGACCTCCGCTGCGATGGGGAGGGGAGGGGAGGGGAGACCAATAGCCCCTCGCATTCTTTTTCCGACCTTCTTGCTTTCCGTGCTGCACCTGCTAATAATTGATCTGATCATCGTACCACCTTGCTCGTAGTCCGATTGTGATTGCGATATACTATTATAGTATCATCCGTTAGAAGAAACTCAGACTGTAACTAGAGCCAGTGCTTGCAGGAGGAGGCCCCCCGCCCCCCTTTCCCATCTACAGTACGAATCCTCAGATAAACAAGGTCCACACGGCGCAGATCGTTTATCTTCTTCTACTGAGACTTCTCCTCGTTTCCAAAGCTCAAGTCAGCTGGCTCACCTGTTGGACGGACGTACTCCCTGCCCCTTGAGATTCCACGTCAATGCACCGAAATACTTTCGCTGGAGCTTTCCATCGATGGAGTATTTCTGTCTCGCTGGAGCAAATATTTACAAGAGCTCAACGACATATGATCCGATTCCGTAGAGACTGCAGTCTTAGAGCTTATACTCCAAATAATTGTACAGTCCGGAGTCTTGTCTCTTGTGAGAAAGTGGCAATGGAAGCTCGACGTAAGACCTACCGCCTCGAAGTGGCCAAGTCTGTAAAACAATATCTCGCTCTCCTCCAGAGTATCGAGAATGGATGCCTGTTCTTTTGCCGGAAATTAGGTCGCTACAAGCGGCTGGAGGGGAGGAATCTTATCTTTTTGGGAGAAAAGTACTCTACGTCAAATGTCAATTGTCGCCATGGAAAGAATATTTGGATACTGTGGGAATGTTCTCAGCCAATTGACTCTGAAGCACTTCGCTTTTAAGGACATCCAGCCCCATATGCGAGCATCTTTGGAAGGACAGCAACCGTTCTTCCGAGCTTTGTAGCAGCTTGAACGTACCACTGTACTCTGATCGTACTTGACTGCAGCTAAGATTTCTGGGATGGGATGACTGACTCGACATGGGCCGAGAAACAATTGCCATCGAGCCCAATACCGTGTCCTCGAGTGAGAACGACCTCCCGAGAGATCGGTGGAAGGGAATTACAGGATCCTAAAAATGTTTGTTAAAGAAATCGAGGTCGTAAGAGCTTCGAGCAGAGATTATGTTGGCCAGAGTTTTGAGACTTCTGACGTACATCAGTATTTTGATGTCTCGTAACAGAAAGTAGTCATCTTCCTGTCCAGAACTTTCCTTTTCCGGCAAAAATTTCGTCCATGTTCATTTGGGAATGTCCAAGGGACTTCTCATGTACAATCAAGCAATCTATCCACTGCGAGTGCTAGCGATTGTCTGCCATACTGTTCACTTGAAAGCTGGTGCTCACCTCGTCCTTTCAGGATAACACCTTCAGATTTCCAGTGTGGCCTGTGGTGTTCTAATCTTGTCGTTCCAAGGCGAGGTCGGCAACTCATGCTTCCAATACTTTCCAATACTTTCCGCTTATTTTATTTGTGCAAGTCGCGATACTGTCGTTCTTTTCGAAGGACGTGTGGGACCGTGAACACAAGGATCCTGCACGGCTGGAGACGCCAGTTGGGGAGGAACATCCCTTCGAAAGGTCCTGCACTGCGACTGCACACATTTCGAAGATTAAAGGCGTACTCCCTCTTCTTTAGTCCTACGATCACTCCGTACCTTGTGCAGGAATATATCTCCCAGGTTTCCTACGAGTTCAGCATGGGTCTCTATCTTTGTCCCCATAACGCATGAAACAAAGTTCCATCATGAGAATGTTGCCAATAAAGGTCTACATTTGAGTCACATGTGCTTATTTATTTAAAAGCATCTTGTTAACACTACATCCACTTGAGCGTATGGTGTGATGATCCTTATTTGCCAGGGTTTAATTTAAATCTATCCTGTTTAATATTGAATTTATGCCAAGTGAGATTTTATTCAGTTTAGCCTGTGGTACACATGGTGAGGAATGTAGATCAATGAATATTTGGGTTGATCGTGAACCTTTATGTCATCGCAGTGTACTCTCTAGACATTCCTAGTCGTCTAAAATTTTGTAAGGAATGTATGGTTATTAACAGGAGGAATATATTATGTAGAAGTTGAAGTTATGTATGAGGATTTCATTTCAAAGTACCCAGACATTGCATTTCCCGATTACGTAATAAATATATATTTTGAAAAACGTTGTATATATGCATGTGACATTGTATATACTCTCATTTCCTTTTGCATATTCATCGAACCAACTCTTTTGCACCTTAAACTACATTCATATTAAATCTAAAAGTATTTGATACGATGATCATGGATTACTTTTGTGGCATAGTCGAAAATGGATCTTTGAGTGTGCGATTCGAGACTTAAGAGCAAGAAACATACATATTTGTCTGTATAATTCATTATATACCATACATATCAAAATAAAATCTATTGGGTATTTGAACATTCTCATTATATATTTTATCTTTCACATTTGTGACTGCACATTGTTCCATCACAATAATTTATGAAAAAAATTGAGTATTTTATCATTTTACTTACAGGTGCTATTACAAGTAACCATAGATGTTTTTATCTTGGAGCCAATATATCAGCTAACTTCTTTCTCCACTGACTTGACTATCAACAAATATACAAACTTGACAAATATCTTAGAGATTTTTGTCCAAGTTGATGAACCAATGAAATCAACATGATTTATGTATAATATTAATGAATCACGTGATTGCTCATATTATGATACTGCTTTGAAAAAGGTGCACGTTTATGTATCATGTCTCAATTTTTTTAACTTTTTTACTCGCAAGGGAAAATTATTTTAAGGAAATTAGAATGTATGTTGGATTCGATTATACATCTTGCAACTAGTATATATATGGCATGTTACTCGTCCAAAAAGCATAGCATGTATATTAATAATATCAGTAGTATAGCAATGTTCTCTACCACACAAGATGTTGAAGATCTCTCAAAAAAGTAATCCTGGGTTGACTTGCTGTCAGTTCAGAATTAATTCAAAAATATGTGATATGACACGAGGATGCATATTCCACCCAAAAAAAAATCATTGGTATCTTTTCAATCGATTAAATCTAGTCCTAATCTAAACTCGGTCAAAAAAATCATTTTTTGGTTATTAAATTTTTGGCTTTTGATACTATTGGTCTCATCGTTTTTATGGTACAAATATGCATCCTTTTGGATAGAGTGGTAGCAACTAACGTACGCAAAAGCATCTTTTGTGCACTCTTTCTTCAATGATATGGATATATAAGAAATTACAGGACATTTTCCATAGTGCAGTTATAGGGACCTCCCACGTTAGCATCCATGCAAGACTTGATGTGGGTTCCCATCGCTATTTGCTTTCTACTTACTCACTTGGCAACCATTCAGGTATCTGCAGTTGGTACTTGACGCAAATAACCTAATCAAAAAGTTTGCGTGCACTAAGTTTAGATGCATGAAAGATCGGGAAGAGCACTATTCGATGTTATTATATTTGCTTTGTCGGAAATTTGTACGAATCTCAGCACAAGTTTGCTAACCGTCAATCTCATGCTTCAACCACCACGACTAACTGATGGATTTTCTTTCTATTCATCTATAGTAACTGACAGTAGTTGTTTCACTATTAGTAAGCTGATGATTCACAAGATATTCGAATCGTCTTTCCACGATATGGACTGAAAAACAAAGCAAGAGTATCTTACATTTAAACAATGAACGTGTCCGAAAATATTTGGAATCCGTCGGAACAGCAGTTTTGACACCAGTCTTCTGGTCAGCACGAAAACATCCAACAACCATAACGGATCTGATTTTTGAACTGACATTGTATACGTCACGGCAATGGAATACACGTCTCAGCTCATTCATTAAACATATGGAGCTCTGAACATTCACCTCAGCAAGGAATCTGCAATGAAGCATGGGATGATTTCTCCGTGCTTCAGAATTGTCGTGTAAGGCACTGTAAGCAGCAGAATCGATGGGCAGAAGAGAATGATTAACGCACTTGAACTGGAACCACTGCACTGCTGTTTGCGCCGAAGGAGTTCGACAAAGCAAGAACGGATCTTTTTAAAGTCTCTTCAACGTTTCGTTCGTAGAGCAACATCTCCCATACCGATCGTGACAGCGATTTTACAGGGAACCCCCGAGAGGCACAACCCGGCTGAATTGGCCCAATCAGATTCCAGGAATCTGATTTGTCGATGTCGACAATCTGGATCTACAGTGGGTCGAATAAAAACACGCTCTGTGTTTCTCGTGCAGATATCACGAGATAATAGTAGTATTTCCAAATCCTCACAAAAATTCATCTTCAGCGCTTCAGTTTACTTCGCTATTTTAAATAAGAAAATTCAGAATTGTCTACAAGCTGATGTTTCTCCTCGTCAACAAAGATCAGTTTGATGACGACTTCACTATCGTCAAGATGGTCTTTCTCATTCCTCAGTTCCTCACGTGTCATTAGGACCAGCTCTCTATGTTCGATTACCGACGATATTATCGAGAGTAGACACAAATATCCTCTCGAATTGCTATCATTATGCATATCAGTCTAACTAATATAAGTTCTATCGATCGAGCCACGTGTATTCATGACCAATCAACCACACCACCAATTGCGGACTGCAGTACCCGAATTGCAGTACTGTAGAACCAACCACCGACTGAGTAGATCGATGCTAACTGCATGGTTCGATCTCCGTTGACACATCACGGTTTTAGAAAGAGAAAGTGCCGTATTGCTAAAAACATCGTACCTTTGTCCAAGAATCTGTTAAAATCCTTTCAAACGGTCAGAACTCAAACAACTATGAACGGCCGTATGCGAAACACAACCGACTCTCTCAAGTTAGCCTCAATGATTGGGTTACTTTAAAGGTTTGAGCAAGCGTCATCACTGCGTTTTTTCATGTTAGCATAAGCCACATGCACGGATCGAAGACATTACACACGACGTTGTTTGTCATACATATGAAGTCCGTCATCTAATGGCTAGACTTGTTTACTTCATAAGCTCGCCTGTGAAGCGTTTGCAGGTCTAGCGCGAAGTACTGCACTGGACATAGAAATCAACAAAACACTTGGCTTTTATCACACAAAGCTGAATAAGGTCACATTTGTATTCCAAGCTCCGCCAGATGACATGAGGGGGGAAATTGTGGACAAGATGGGTAGTAAAATCCTCACATGCCTATTAGGTCAAGACGAAAACAGATGTGTAATAGGGGACAAATGAGATCGACTATGTTTAGATGATCAGGTCGGATATTACATTTAGAGCAGGTATCAGTAACGATGTATGTGGCAGTCGATTCTTGGGAGGTCCCCTCTTTCTTTGTTTCCTTCGATAGGTTCTACCGTCGTGTTCTTTGTAGTTCAGACTCCCAGGAACGGGAAATGGTCTCCGTTACGATGAATCTGCTGTAGAGACTAGTCTCCAATAAAGTTCTTCTGTTGGTCAAACATCAGGTAGTTGTTCTCAAGTAGGTACAAAGAGGAAAATTTTAGTCAAGCCTGGATTGTGAATGTCAAACCTACAGATGGACATGTACGTGTTCGCCTTACCTGTACACATACTCATCTCTCCTCTTTTGTCACTTTTAGGATACGCATTTTAACATGCCATTGTTTGATCATATTCGTAGTATTTGATACTATGCATCTCTAAGGGATACTAAGGAATTTGCCCCAAATTATCGGATACATGAGCTGCCTTGAAGCCAGAGACTGACATTTTAAAACCGGGATATCGGATACCAAGGAAGTGGAGATAATATCGGTCTTTTTAATCAATACTCCAGGTATCAGTGTTTTATAGTCTCAGATCTTCCTCACAGATAGCAGAAGATGATCTTACTAATATCAAGTTGCTGAATCACATGTGACGAACCTCCCCACAGTAAGTTCAAATTCTGTAACTGTATTTCTCGGTAAAATATGATTTATGACCAATCAGCTCACCGTACAGAGTAGGCCAAATTTAGTCCACTTTCGTCAGGGTTTAAGTTCTTCTACCGGTACTTCAAGTCAGGTTCATAAGTTCGTTCATACATCCTGAAGGATGTGTACCAAATACCACTGCCTTTTTCCTCAGGTAACAACGCTGAGACCGAGGCCACGTATGTATCGGGTGTGTCCAGAGTTTTGACGTAGGTCGGGGAAATGTATATATTCTGACAGACGTTGCAATTATGCAGACCTTCGTCTCGACGTCCCTCCGTCAACACTTGACTGACTAAATACACACGCTGGGGAATAAAGCAGAAAATCAAGTAGCCTTCACTGCCATTGGAGTTCGAAATCAATTCTGTGAACAGTGCCACTGTACATTCTGGGATGTTGTATGATAGCTTCAACCAAGCGGGACATGGTTGTTGCTCCTTGTGTTTCCCGACTTCCCATTCTTGTCCCATCATGGGGCGGCCACTGATATGATGCTGACCAATAGTAAATGAATGATACTCGACCGTTGATTTGAATGATACAATGTCGTTTTCGCTTGCGAATTGTACTGATAAGCATGAGCGAGTCAGCTTGATCCCGCCCTTTGTCTTTCTATGGCCAGGTAAGAGAGCAAAAACTGTACCTCCTGAGAAGCTTTGAAAGTATAACTTTTCATTATCGGATGTTTCTCCTTCTTACTAGGAGCAAATCTTGGTTCATCTTTTAGGTCCTCAACAGTCGATGTTCAACGTTATCTTTCTTGGTCGAGCTTCCTCCGCCGAATAATAAAAACTCGTAATCTACAGTCACCAGAGGAAAAATAAGATCACGAGTGAAGACAACATCCTGCTGATAAGAGTGCTGCAGAGCGAGAAGACAAGCAGGAAAGATCTATCCTCGAGCTAAGGTTTATCGCATAGGCGGAATGAAGGACTGACTAGTCGTGAACAGCGCTGCAGACTAGAGCAAACAAACAGAAGAATGTGTCATCGTTTCAAGTTATTCTCGATAGCAGGAAGCCTGTCACGCCTCATGAGTGCTTTAAATCGGACAGACAAACAAAAGCTCTTCTCCTCGTTTCAGGTCGCTCACTCAAACACCGCGCAGTTTGCAGCAGCAACGACAGAGAATCACAGCAGGAAAGTTCGTCGCTACATGGTGCCTGGTGCCTGGACCCTCTGACTGATGCTCACGCTCACGCTCTTTACGTGCAAGAGTTTCAGACCCCATTTTTTATTTCTTTTATCGGGAAAGAGAGCGCATCCTGCGCTCTCACTGCAGGTAAGTGGGAAGAAAATTCTCTCGAAAAAGTTCCCATTCGAGCTCCGATTGCGCGTAAAAAGCTCGGACCGAACAAATCACCTCCGAGAAACGAAAAGATGTACCGCAGGTGGCCAGAGGTCGACCTCGACCGAAGAAATTACCTCCAAGAACGAGAACCGGAGGCATGTCTGAAGTCGAGGCAGGACGAGAGAGAGAGAGAGAGAGAGAGAGCTCGGCGATCGGTTCAAGGCGCACAGCTTTCTTTCTGGCCTTCGTATCGCAACGAGACCGGAAGCGGACCACGTGTTTCAAACTGTCTCATACTCCGACCTCCATGTACGCTCGCCACCTGCCCATCTCGAAATAGGCGCCCCGCGGGACGCGGACACCCAACGCGAGCGCGAGAGAGATTCAAACTCGGCCGTACTTGTGCAACCGGCCGCGCCAGCGGGTAGACGGCACTTTAGCCACTTTCCGACACAAGTCCGGAAAGTTTCGGAAAGTGCCGGAAAGTGGGATGGGAGGGGATCGCCGCAAGCGGAAAAAGAGAGAGGCGGGAGGCTTGAGTCGGCCCGTCAGATCGTAGGGGTATGTCGCGATGTCGTCACGACGTCGAATGTGGTCGTGGGGACCACCGGTCGTGCGTCGTCTCCCCTGGTCAGATTTTACCTGCGGTCTCGCAACCACACACCGGGTCACCGCTTGAATCAGTCACTTACCGCTGTCCTTATCGTCTTCCCCACTTCCCAGCTCCTCTATGACGTAAATACGTTACGAGTCCAACATGGAGATAAGACAAAGGGGAGTACATCCTGTCACCCTCCATCATCACGAGAGTTGTAGTGCCACATTGTCGACCAATGGGAGCTGACAGGTCTATGACGGGACGGGAGGGGAGGGGAGGGGAGGGGATTGCGGGTGCTCGAATTCCTGGTCGAGCTGGGAACAGCGATCGATGATGTACCAGGGGTGGGGAATATTGGAGAGAGGCTCGTATGATGAACCCGGGGGCCATCACGGGCCGGATTATCCTAGCACATCACCCTGTCCCTATGTTAAGGGGCCACGAGCCAACTGCCCCGCCCTCCCCGCACTAATCTCCAGACTTTCCACTGATTTGGACCCACTGAGAGCCTCATCATGACGGTGATTTGTTATTCAGTTAGATTCTTGTTATTCGGATTAGACAGAGCAAAACGCTCGGAGAAGTGCAGGAGGTCTACTATTCTGCCCATGAGTAAGGTATGTAATTCTGGCTGTATGTTCCTTCACTTTTTTTTGGGGATGCGGGCCTTTCTCAGAGATGGACTTAAGATTAACTGGAACTTCACTTGTAATCGACTCGTCAGCTCGATCCTACGTGGAGCCCGACTTGTCCTAGTTGGCAGCCAGCGTCCGGGTTGAATCGTGTGGTTTGGCCCTAGATACTTGTACAATGTACAATGCCCAATTCCTTGTCTCTTTTGGAAACGTAGTCTCGTCATGGAAAAGTCAATTCGCATAAGGAGCCAACTGTGTGACAGGAGTACCTCGTCCACATGACTTTTGCCGCCCTGAATATGTTCATCTGAAGCTCATCTGAAGCTTGACGTTAACTTCTGACTTGTTTATCCACCTTTGGTTTCGACTTCTCTCCTCGACCCACAAATGTCCAGGTCTACTGCATTGACATGAAATGAAATCACTTGATCATTTCGTTTCAGGTTTATCACGCCACTGATAACCACTTTGCTCCAAAAGGAGATGAATGTAATAAGGATTACAACTACTCATATAATAATATTGTACACTAGTCTGAGATAGAAAACTAAGTAAAGGGACATCCATGTGTGCTCTCATAGTAATCAACATCCTGGATGGAAACTACAATTCATGCCATGTAGTCCAAGTAGACAGCAATTACTCTCCAAGTTTAGATGGTTGCATACCTTATACGTCAATGTAATTTAGTATGATGTATATTTTAAATCTTCCTATGATGTGCAAAAATTAAGACAATGTAGTAAAAAATGTGCCTCGTTTTCAACGTGGATAGTTGAACAACAACCACAATACTGTAGCACGCTATCTATGTTGCAGTATTCACCTGTCTCAGCAGACACTGCAAGTGGTCTAAACCTGAATCCTAATATTGTTGGAAAGTCTCCTAGAGAGCATATGACCTGGTTTGGTATAAAGAACATAAGATTGATATATCTTTTGATAAGAACACAACTCGTTTTTAAAATTTGGCCACTTTTTTAAAAATATAATTCAGTCCATTTCACATATGCACTTCTATCTAAATTACTCCCACGACCTTCATCTAGTGGGACAATTCAAAGAAATAAGCATGACAAGACTTGCCGATATATTCACGTACCGATCATTAGATTCCATAGCATGGTAAGGAGCTTTCTTCGGATTTCCTTAAACTGATGAAAATTTCCTCTTGTCAAACATAAACCTTCAGCCTCTAATCATTTATCCTTTTTCAAATAATTATTACATTCAACCTTAAAAAAAATATCTACTAACATCATGGCATAGCGGGTTTGAGTCTTAACTTGAATATTTAGAGCCAAATAATTTGGGTTTGTATTTTACCCTCAACTACTTGGAATCTGCAAGCATAGGATCCCATATTTGAGGGAAAAAACTATGATAATGAGTTGTACTTTTGGGGACATCCTTTGACAAACTCTAATAAAATCAGTCTCTATAAACAAGGATAAAAGAATGCATAGAGGGCTTCATAGCTCATGTGATACGCTTTTATACTGCATGTCTTCATTTCCAGGGTAGAGGGTACCTCAAGGACCAAGTACTTCGGCACGCAGATTCTAATATCGTTTGTCATCCATAGAAGAAGAGCAAGGATTCAATAATACTAAGAATCATATTTTATGGTTTTTTTTAAGTGATTGACATCCCTTTGAACATAAAATATTTTTATTTTTTTTTAAATGTGATTGCATACTATGTGCATCTGATAAATTAAGAACAAAATCATCGTCATATAAGAGTAACTTGATCACATGTATGTAGTCCATGAAAATACGTGCGCTCTTTGAGTGATCGTTAAATGTCTCCTACCGACTAATGAACATCCCACGAATGTCGGGGGTGGCCATCCTTGCTTTATATCAAATGTATTATCAATAAAAGCTCGTCGGCACATATATATGTTATATCAATCTTAATGAGCATCTCAACATAAATTAATCCAACTGCCATGCAAAAAGCTCATAGCGGACTTCTCCAACCTTATTTCCATCTCCACCAGTTATGGAAACTCAATCGAAGCCATTGAAGAAGTACACCAACCAACCTTAAGCATTATTTTACTTATTCTTGCTTTCTCCATTGTTAAACAGATTTGAAGATAGACAATGATAGAGAATAATTTTATAAACTTCACAGAAGATGAGATGAATCATGTTCGTGACGAGTCCAGTTTTCAGCTTCTGCTCTAACACAGATCCAAGTAGCTTGGTCATAAAATCGATAATTATGATCTAAAATATTAGACTTGAAAATTGGGTGATTATATATATATATATATATATATATATATATATATATATATTTGTAGGTTTTGAAACCATCGGAGTGAAAAAACGAGTTGTTGTACAAACATATTAAGATTTTGTAAATATGAATTATGATAAATAAGATGTTTCATTCTTTTAAAATATGATTTCTTGTGTTAGAAATTTCAAATTTCATAAATTCTAATAATTATCACTGAATATTAAAATATAATTGAAAATTACGTTCAATCAGAAAATATCTTTACAGATGAGCGAGCAATTTAGAATACTCGAACAAAGTATGTGAAAAATTGACAGTATAATTGTAAATGAAATTTGAATTTTTCTAATCTTTTATACAAATAATTTTTAGAATATTAACAATTGCTGTATTTAAAGCGTTAGTTAGTGCAAAGTATGGGAAAAAAAACATTTCAGAAGATCAAACTATGTGCTTTGCATGTTCATAGAGTATAAAGTTCATTAGCCATAAATTGCTTATAAAAATTATTTATTTATTTATTTATCTATCTTTCTTTATATGATGACCGCGTGATGATATTGAAGTCAATTCCCATCCTACCCACATGGTTTCATCCATGTACGGTAATACTCATTTTGGTATTCGCGTAACTTCTGCTCGATTACTTGGTTCATGGGTTTACTCTTATGAACACTGTTAGTGAGTAATCCTTTTAACGTGTGGATACTTGTGCGACGAGTCTTCCAATAATGAGCTAGACCCAACCTGCACCCGAAGGGTCGTATCATCTATCAACTTTTAGCGATATCGTTAACGAACTCGTTTAAGTCTCTCGACTTTATGATAGCAGTCAAGTGACCGGTTTCTCAGCTGCACCGTGAATCTCCGATTCACAGAACCGGTGAAAATCTCCAGTCTGCAAACATACGCATAGACAGAGATGTCTGTGCGATGATTCTGGATTTCGGTTCAGCCTAGCCTTGACTGGCTCGCTCCCTCGAGAGAAGCGAGAATATATTGCGTTGTGACCACTTGTCCCAATGCGGAGCTCTGTTCCTGATGAGTGAGGAGCAAGTAGCGGCGCATGGCATGAGTTTACGAGGGAGGGAGCTCGGGACAGAAATCTGTTTTGTTCTCTAGTACTCTGTACCGAAAGTCCTGTGACTTGACCGAACTCTCATCGGTCAAAGTAAAATGTGCCAACACCGAGTTGCGATACCGAAACCGAAGTGAACATGACAGTTTAGCAGAATAAGAACCTGGAAACTACATTCTAGTTTGTCGCATTTGGTGAATCTTTTCCTCGCCTGAGGATGGGAGCGGAAAGAAATTCAGAGGAACAAAGCTCGGCTCAGAATGCCGCCCCGTGTGGGAAATGCTGCCGGAGTGCAGAAGCGGATAATCCCGGTTCGTGCCAGAAAGTTACCCCTTAATTTTGCAACATTCCCTTCGACTGCCACCTGAAACGAAACAAATACGACCGGGAAAGACGAGTTCCAGTTCCCGGTCAGTACTCGGTACCATTCGTCGTCGCGCCATAGAGCGGCCGGGATATGGAATGGTCCGCTGTACGGAATACTATATATCTGCAACGAGTACTGTACAGTTCTGTACTGTACAAGGAACAAGTCTCCGGCGTCAGGTGTTTAATTACATGCTCCTGGACCGAACGGCATTTATAATCCTCGAATGTCCATTTTGTTCCATTGTCGCCGGCAGCGCCACCACCAGCTCGTTTGCCCGTTTGACGACTTGGAAGGCTTACCGCTGCGCCTAGTTCCATCCACGGTACCTCGGCTTCTCTAGCCGACAAATTTGGTCAAACCGAAGCCGAGCCGGGGGGCACTGCAGGACAAAAATAATAACGACGACGACGAAGACGATCTCTCTCTCTCTCTCTTCGTATTCTGTCAGCTGTTTCGGGTGATGAGGATATCTCTGTGGCATACCTCATTCGAATTCGGAGATGTACAGTTGACCTCATTCCGAATGACAGTCATTTCGGGGGACGACGATGGAGCGAAGCAGCTCTGCACAGTCGTATGACTGTGACGTAAAACTGTGACGCGAGATGTCGATGTATGAGATGAGGAAATATCAGCAGGAATTTCTCGGATTCGACCTCCTTGTCGGATAAAACCTACAGATTGCTCGCCGATGACGAGACTCGCATTGGATTTGTGGGCAAATGAGATTGTTGATTATGATCGGATCTTCTTTCAAGGATGCAGTGTGGCGGGGAGAAGTGCGAGACAAAAGTAGGTTAGGAGTCCCGGACAGGTTTTCCACTTATGGGCCATACTTTGCAGGACACGGAGGCTGAATATTGTTTCAACTGTTCTAGGTTTATGCTTTGCCAATCAAGCAGAATGAGTAATCGACAATAAACTGAGTAGTAAAGTTATTAATTTTAGAATGCTACTTTTTTTTTCTTGAATCTTACATACGGGGCAGGTAATTTTTATTTTACATTTCAGACTTTTCGTGACTTGGATTAGTAGACCTAGGTGGGAAATTAGGAATAACATAGTTAGCAGTTTCCACTGTTAGCCGGGGTGTGTGGGGCTACAGGAAACATAAGTGATGAATTACATGAGTCTAATTGTTGTCTTTCTTACTTCTAACACTTCACTATTCCTCATGGGTACTACTCTATTAATGTGTGACACAACGTGTCTAGTGATTACTCGTTTGAGATGAAGATCAAAGTGAAAATGATGAAGGTTGATTAACTTGGAAGGAACATGTGAATATAATCAAATGGACATTTCATACTGTAGGGAAACCACTGATGCATCAATTCCTCCATTGATCATCCCGAATATACAGATAGTATGATAAAAGTGATTCACATTTGATACATGCTTTATTCGGAGAGTCGTGTAGACTAAATGAAATTAATGTTCGCATTCATTTCATATATATTCTCATGCATGATGCTTGTTGCTTAACTATCTCTCGAGTAACAACGAATCATTGTGGTTCATCGGTACAATTGACAAAGAAATAATGATGATCCTAGTACAAATAAATTCTCAAGAACATGATTGAAACATAATAGTGTTTTTTTCTCCATTGCAAAAATGTGCCGATATTGGTGCAAGTTGTCAGTAGATTCAGGCACATGTGGGAACTTTAAACATGTTTATTCTTGCTATTTCACGACCATACTATTAACTCATTATGATTTTATATCCATCCATGGTTGAATATATATATATATATATATATGATTATTATGATATAAAGTCTCCATAGATATGTTTTGATCCCTAATTTATGCAGAATATTACACCTATACTATGATACTCAAAGATTGTTTTCAGATGGTAGACCTTTATTATATTCACAAAATAGTTTTAATAATCATATATACAAAAATTTAAATATGTGAAAGTATCAATTGTAACATTAAATTCGAAAAAATAATTTTTCTTAATATTGGAGTTACAATTTGTCAAGTGTAAGTCGTTTTTCTGTGACGATATACAACTACGAGATTATATTCGTATCTTGGAATGATTGTATTGATTATAATAATTATTACCTAGATCATGCATTGTAATTCACAATTTCATCACTAACTTTGTGTACACTAGAATTGAGTCATCATATTACTAAATTTTGACATAGTTTCTTCAACATCAAAGCAAATATAGATTGAATTATTATGCAAATAAGACCAAAAACACTTTTAGAATCTTTATGTGTATACGTCATCTTAAAAAAAAAAAATCGTTGTGTTTCTTGATGAAGTCTCATCATTTTAATACAAACTCATTGCACAATTTTTTCAATACTTAAATCATTTTTTTTATACAACGGAATCATTGTTTTTATAATCCGATTCAGTTTTTGACAGAACACTTTTTGAAAATGTTTTAGCTTGCAATAGTTGCATTGATTATTTGTTCTTTAAGATGTAGTCCTAGAACTTAATACTTTGACAGATGATAAACACTGTTTGAATTATGAATTATGTATTATTACTGCATGGACATCATCTTATATACAATAAACATCAATATGATACACTGCTCATGTTGAAAATTAGGTTCTATTATTCATGATGTCTTGAATGATACTTTTGTGAAGAAAAATAATGTTACCTGCCATAGATTTCATTTGTTTACTTTTTACTAGGTTGAGATGAATTTATATAAGTTGAAAAATGGTCATTAAATTTGAAGGTGTGGTCAATCAAACATATGGCATGATTTTTAGGTAAAATTAATTGATCCTAAGTATAGATTGTGAGTGAGAATCAAGACTTCTCAACATACAAATATGAAAAGAGCTCATTTTTTATTCCTCTAGCTCTAAATACATAAATAATCTGAATTGAAGACAAAATATGCTAAAAAATTAGACATTGACATAAATCGCATCTATTTTTTTCAGTTTCAGTACATATTTTGGGATGAAATTTGAAAGAATTTTTATGTACTCGTAGATGACATGCTCTCAAAATAATTTTTATATACTTGAAAATTGTAAAATATTAAGAACCTTAAAATATTTTTTCAATATTCAAGATTTGTGGTTAGTGAACGAAGTAAAAATTTGAACTTTTTTGGATTTTTTACACACTACATTGGACTCTATGCATTGACATGCTCATGAATTACATGTTAATTGGTGCATTTTATAAGAACATTGACCAGAAATTTTTTTTGTTGATGAACATTTTACATACACAATCGAGTTGCAAATATATGATGTAAGAGAAACAAATTTTGAATTTTTTCACCAGAAAAAAAATTAAACAAACATAAGAATTGAAATTGAAGCAATCTAAGTGTTTTGTGGAATCTCCAGTTCTGAAAAAAAAAGAAGCTCGATCATAGAGAGATAAGTCTTATCATGAATACTCACTAAGGTAAGATATCTATCACAATGATTACAGAATGACCAAAGTCATTGTAAACGTTTTTGTGATACCAAAATCATATGAACTATTGTAAACTTGAGGGATTTGACAACTTTTTCATGAAGAACCTTGAAAACTTTTAGCATGCATTTTTACAAGGCGGCCTATCAGCTTGAAAATTTGTTACTCTGTAGATTTTTTGAATACTTTCTCTAAAGAAATAGGCACTGAATATTCCACTTGTCATCAAATGGACGTGACAAAGATAGTGCACCTGCAAATATGAGGGTGTGAATGACAACACTTCGCGTCTTTGATCTGGATTACTTTCCTCACATCATGACCTGGATCAGAAGCTGCATAACGCAACAGATTGTGAGGTAGGAAATCAATCATCATAACTTTAATGTATGTAAAGTGACGTAAATCCTTGGTCACTATGCCAGGTTGATGACCTGAGGAGTCTAGAATGAAATCGCAATGTGGTATCCACCTTACGCAATAGGGCGTAAAGTGTATTAGGTTTCTTACAATGTGTTTCAAATATGTAGCTTGACTCAACAAAATACTGCCAGATGAAATGTACTGCTTTGAAGTAGTCAATGAACTTCAATCTTCAGACCTAAGATATCACTGTGCTACGTTCAGATGGCGGGGAGAGCCTAAACTACGACGTTTGGTTTCAAAATATGAGTTGAATGGACTCTGGACATAATTGGATAATTTACTGTTAGAGGTTTTGTAAAATTAAAATCACCCTAAGTTTCCATACTGCTCTATTGTTAGATTTATCGAAAATTTATCCTTGGAATATTAATATTGAAATCTCGGATGGCTACCCCCATCAAACATTAAGTATCATTTGGCGGGGTACTTGCTCGCCTTAGATTAACTTAAATGTTAATACTAACATATAATGGAGAATAATAAGTCGTTGTAGAATGCAAGTAGATATTTTTCCCGGTTCGCAGGCTTGAAATCGGTAACAACTTCAACAATTATAAGATGTATGTAAAACGAATCGGAGGTTTGAACCTGGACACCTTATAAGTTGTGTAGGCGACAACAGCATAAAACCCCCTCTACGAGAGGTTCAACTTCATAGATAGCAACAAAATTTCTGCTAAATTACCATGACTTGATCGTATATTTTCTTTTCGTAGAATGTTCTACATAAATATAATTCATATAAGTACTCCATATACATGCATTCGATTGGGAAACGATGCTGTTCTGAACCATGTCATTCTGGTTGACAAGATATATTTACAGGAAAGAAATTCGGATTACATTTTTGATCTCGAGTACTTACTCATCTCTCATCACGAATAGTAAGTACAACTATAAGACGTAGATTACGAACATTTAGATGAATTCAAACAAACGCCCGTTGAGATCTCATTTACTGCCAAATGTGGCGCGTCGCATGTAACGAAACCAAAAGAATTTAAAATATACTCAAACATTTCATTGGAAAACTTGCATACTTGTTATCAGGAGATTCTTATGAAGCTAACAACCGACTCTACTCGAGTGTACTTATGAGTTATAATCCGTTTTGTGGCCAGATTGTAGGTTTGTTGTAAAACTTGTTTTACGTCCATAATCCACGTAGGAACTAGTTGATGTGTTGGCCCGGGTGTATGCGGGCAAGACAGGACGGTGTATGCACAATACAGTACTGGTAGAGCCAGTTCGATGACCGGAAATTCTTCCTTCTGTTGGAGCGGAGCGAGGAGGAGAAGGAAGACGCAGTGAAGTGCTTCTGCTCCCTGTGCACCTGCTGGCCTGCCTCTGTGTCTCCCGGGGCCTCTCTATATCTTCCACGGAGCTGTCTGTCTCTACTACTTACTGGGTCAGCTTCCTTGCTCCCGTCCTCGCTTGCTTTGTTTGGGAGGTTGTTGCTACCACTCTTCCAGCCGCAGCTCCTGCTCCTTCGCCAACAACGCTCGCCGCTTTCCACGACTCCTAGTCTTCGGGAATTTGCTTTTCTGCTGAAGCAACAGGTCCACTTCTTTCGTGCACTCGGCGAAAGCAGGGCCTCCTCACCTCCTGTTCCTCTCCTTGCAAGCCTTGTGTTGGAGTTCTCGTCTCTGAGCCGCTTCTAGACGTCCTGTCTGTGTTGTTTATTTCAAGCAGTCGGTGGAGGAATCGGGGAGTGTTGGTCAATTCGTTCGTCGTTTTCTCGCTGCAATTGACCGTGAACGGTCAGAGAGACCATTTCTGCTCTGTTTTCTTTCTTTATTAAGTCTTCAGTATCCTGGTTGCCGCTGTTGTAACGTTGCTGCTTCGTTCGTTCGAATTCTCTCCTGTGAGCTCGTCATCCTGTAAGTAAAGCTGGGGAAGGAAAGCCTCCCAGGTCGGGGAAAGGAAAGAGAGGACGAAATGGCTGAAGCCATAACGACTACAACCACGATTCACCTGAATGGTTCAGCTCCCACCAAAGGTTCCATTGTGAATGTGGGCAGCAAACGCTATCACATGGGTGACACTGCACCAATCACAACTCCAAAAGCCGCGAATGGTACTTCTGCTCCCAAAAAAGCTGTCAATGGCGTCAGTGCCAGCAACAAGAGCTGCTTGTGGTTCGAAGAGGAGCTCGAAGAAGATCTGCGTTGGGTGTTTGGCGTCTCAAAGTGCGAAAGCTTTTCACTCTTCCTCATTTTATGTTGATTTTATTTTCTAATTATTCTAGTTGAGAGGGAATGTCACTATCAGTTTGGCATCCTCTTGTATCGAATCGTGATATTTAACTGAGAGTGATTCTTCTTCCTTGTCGCGCGAAAATTCCCTTGCTGTCTTGTGGACCTAGTGGTCCACATTCGTCTCTTAACTGCAAGCAATGAGCTGGGTCGGAAGCCATTCAACTGCTAATATACAGTGAAGGCTATCTATTCAGCTTACATCCTGATCGAGATTGTCCCGTTCAGATTCCACACAAGGTTGAAGATTCAATTGTCTACTGGAGTATCAGTCTTCATGAGAGACTTACTTCTGTGCATCCATAACGTCGTTACAGTTTTAATGATGTCCCTCTGATCCGTCATAGGGAGAAGGAGAATAATTTTGGGAGAATACATTTAGTTTCTTTTTCCGGGGTGCATAAGGATTTATGCTTTCTACCGTGAACCTATGCATTGTACGTCAATAACTTTTGTATGAGCTGATCTCAAATCCAACATTTGTACGGAGATTCGCTCCCTCCTGACCTGAGCACGTGCACATGTGTTTTTTTGTTTTGTGTATTACTTCTATACAAGCAGCACATCTGATGCTCTGCGGATTGGATTCTCCTGTTCAACCGTGCGTGCCGTCACTGGTTCATGCGCATGCAGTACGGATTGTCTACTGCGTGTTGTCCGTTTAGCTAATTGACGATGTTTAGAACATCATTGAGTGAAGATTAATATCCTACTGAAATAAGTCGTCTCTGTTTATCAGAATCTTGCACACCGGAGTTAGCGAGTTTCAAGATATTCAACTGGTCGAGAGCGGGCCCTTCGGAAAGGTATGCTTCTCCGTCTGCTTAGTCAGTCTCTGCGGCTTAAGCGTGAGTGTCTTCCGTTTGTTGGGTGTGAAGGAGATTACCCTCTAACTCTCTAACCTGACATTAACGGAAATTTTGGAAAACGGTTTGTTACTTTTCCAGGTTCTGATTCTTGATGGGAAGCTACAGTCAGCTGAGGCCGATGAGTTCGTGTATCACGAAAGCATTATTCATCCAGCCATGTTGTATCACAAAGAGTGAGTTCTTATGGTGCATGTTTACATTTGCCACTAGCCACTGTAATTACATAATATTATAATCTGTAAATTGCCCAAAGTCATCGTAGTCACAAATCTCAAATGCAGTCCTGGAGAAGCTATAGTGAACTCACAGACTGCGTCGTGTACTTTGATGTTATGTTACCTGTTTAGTCTCTTTGAATGAGATGTTTTTCCCGCAAATTGCAGCCCAAAGAACGTGTTCATCATGGGTGGAGGAGAAGGTTCCACTGCTAGAGAGGCCCTGAGGCACAAGAGTGCCAAGAAAGTGGTCATGTGTGATATTGACAAGGTATGCTATTTCGTGGGTATGAATTGAATCCAGTCAAAAATGGAATCTCGAATGGGCAGATGATCTGAGTGAAATTCGGATGAAACATCTAATTTGCTCCCCCATTTGTCCGACAGGAAGTGGTGGATTTCTGCCGAGAGCATTTGTCCGTGAACTCGGAGGCCTTTAAGAGCCGTCGCCTGGAACTCGTGATCGCCGATGCACGGTCAGTTAATAGACACTCTACATTTGATCTCTACTTATTCGTCCCTCTCCCTTGAGGAAAGGTAGACTAACTAGTTTGTGCGGTTAAATCTCAGTGCTGAGTTGGAAAGGCGTGAAGAAACATTTGACATCATTATCGGAGATCTGGCCGACCCTGTCGACGGAGGTCCGTGCTATAGATTGTATACTCAATCCTTTTACGAATCCGTTTTGAAGCCGAGACTCGCCCCAGGAGGAATCTTGGTCACACAGGTCAGCTATTCGTTGGCGCTTGTCAAACGCAGTTTTGTTTATATATTTTGTGAAACAATTCAGCCCGAAAAACTGTTTTTGCCTCCGAACATCACTGACTGCGGAATATTGATTTGGCGGCAGGCTGGGCCAGCAGGAATTTTAACTCACACAGAGGTGTTTACGTCCATTTACAACACTCTTCGACAAGTGTTCAAATGTAGGTTGATCTGAAAGTTCGAAGCGATCAACTTTTTGTACGTCCGCATTGTGGACTGTGTACTACTGTCTGCTTTAAGACGAAAGTCGGCTGAACGCTCATGTATGTAGCTCATGTAGGTGAGCTGAAGAAATATCAATCCTGACGTAAGCTAGCCCGGAATATTCTGCAGATGTTGTGCCTTATGCAGCCCACATCCCATCGTACGCCGACTCTTGGGGATGGGTGATGGCATCCGACCACCCATTTCCAGCATTCAACGACGAAGAGACCGATTCCAGGATCTCCAAGCGACTCACTGGAGATTTGCAATTTCTGGACGGTACAACGATGAGCGCCCTCTTCGCTCTCAACAAGCACGTGAGAAAATCGTGAGTTTCCAATATCCTGCGGGGCCCGTCGTTGTTGCTCATCCGACGCCAATCTGATTTTCTCGTGCTTTGATAGCAAAGGGAGGACTGTTCACCTTCTTGTGAGAATGTCAGCTGACTTGTAACGTTTTGCAGGTTGGCCCAGGAGTCTCACGTGTACACAGAGGAGACTGCCCGCTTCATTCACGGACATGGAACCAATGCGAAATCCCATTAGAAGTGCCATCGACCCTCAAATCCATAGACAGATGAGAACGTTTTTGACAGAATTTTATGTACTGCTCAGCAGATAATCCGTGCCTCCTCCCTTCCATCTTCACCACTTCACTCTGTCATGCTGAAGGGGCACCCCGGCGCGTGATCCTCGCCCATTCAGACCTCATACATACCCTTCAGCTCGTAGAACAGTTGTGCTATATCGAATTCCGTGAGAGGAGGATCATCTCGACAAGCTGTACTCGGCGCACTAGTAGCAGTAAGTTAGTAAGTCATAAAGTGCTCGAGGCTTCAAGGAGTGCCACCCGCGAACAACAGGGCCTCCACATCCATCGAGCACTGACAGCAGTAGTTGTAGCGGAATTAGCGGCAACAACAGGCGAACGAGAGCTTGCCTGTTCTTTGGACAAAAGGTCACCATCAGCTCACCACCTGGTGGAGTCCATTGTCCACCCAATACTATTTTGTATAATAAAGCAAAAGGATTTTTGAAATTTGTCACTCGTACAGCCAGCCCCACCACGGGCCTTGTCGTCACTCTCAAACATCCTCTGACTTGACGCTTCGGTGCCAGCAGCTTGGCTCTTGCGGGATGAGATTCGAAAGGTTGGGAATTTTCCAACCACGCTTTAATATCAGCCCTCATCATGTCGCCCGTGCCCATGCTTTCGCAGCCCCGACGGTGCAGTACCGAATGCCTGCATCTCAATGGATGGAAATTCTCATTCTCGGTCATTACACACGCAGTCAACAGGATCTCGGTTCGTTGAAGGAGTTCCCAGTCTCTGGGAGGGGACGACGGCAACGGAGCCGGTGGAAGTCGCTCCTCCCAAGTCCTCTCCGAAGGCCTCCCCGTTCCTTCTACAACGTACCCACTCGATCTCACATTCTCCTGTCGGATCGGATCATCCTCGTATGTAACTTCCGCATGATATATGACATGCATGCATGCAACCCATTCGGTCATCCAGTCATCCAGTCAGATTCGGCATTCTCTGTCCACGTACTTACGGGCCCATGTGCGATGTGCACAGCCTGGCGTAAAAGAATTAGATCTTGTCTCTTCTACTCGCCCTACGTGCGGTGGGCGCCCGACTTCGGCACGTCCCGACAAACCGAACCTCCGGCGACCCGGTCTCCCGTTTGCTTGCTGTTGCAACATTCACCCGAGTCGTACAGGATACTTGTGCATAACATCATATCCTCTGCTATCTACTGCTATCTACTGGATTTATGGTTTTCCGTTATTTATCGGCGATCTCGAAGTCAGAGCAAAAATAAGAACGATGAACCAGACAAATGAGGTTCAACCTATTCAAAAGATCGCGAGCACATGACAATATTATACTCTACTTGATTGCACATCGACTTTTGTTTAAAACATCGAGAATATATAAGTAATCATAGTTTCTGGAAAACAATTTAAATCTCGCCCAATGCATTAAATCTGATAAAAAATGTGAAAATTATTGTGAAAATAATACTCTAATGTTCAACTTTAGACGGTAGCAAAAATAATTGTTTTTATAAATATACGGTGTGTATTCAACTAGTGTAAGTGTTGGTACTCCTATAACAGAAATAATGTCCAATGGATAATTAGCTTTGTAAATCTAAGTAAGTGTACAAAGCTCTTTGATCCATTTCAATCCCCCAAAAAATCCTGTGTGTAAGTAAATATAAGAACATTGTGTGAAATGGGATCATCATTGCCGGATTGTCCTTGTTAGATGAGATTTGAACAGCAAGCATATTTGATAAAGCCATGAATTGATACCTGATGCTTCATGTTGTGTCAGGATTTCTGCATTCTTCATGAATTGTTCACTATTGCATAGAAAATTCCATTACAGTAACTAGTTTGACAATAATAGTTTAAAATTGATATTTTTTTATGAAGACATAGTATATTCAATAATCTTGTCACTATTCCTTGCCCGGTAGATTATGACCATGTCTTTATTGACTTTAGTACAATGTAAACTTTGATATTTTTATTCTATGAAAATGTTATTTCATAGACTTAGCTATAAAGCCCAACAGCTTCGCATTCAAGATGATAAATATGGTGAAATTTGCTAGATAGAATATTGCTCCGATTGTCAAAAATGAGTAGCCATGTTCTAGACAATACTCTCTTTCATCGCAAGATTAGCATACATCTTAACAAATATCAAATTAATAAACTTAGATGAATCCAAGTTATGAAAAATGTTCAACCTTCAATCACAAAAATTCTTGGATAAAAAATAAAAAAAAAAATACTTCGAATAAAAACTTATTTCTTTGAGTTTGATTTATAACATTTTTTATAATGAATATATATATATATTGTGTACAATTACCGTTTTAAGAGACCTAAAGTATTGTTTGATAAAATTGATGATGCATAAATGTTGATTGAATATTCATGATGAATTTTTTTAATAATAAATTATTTAAAAAAAAATTTCAATTAGATGAATAACCAGTTTGAATTCAAAAAAATGTAAATCAATAAATTTTCTATTTTTTTAACATAAGAATCTTATTTTTATTCAAAAAAAATTTTTATGAAATTTTTTCATTTATTATTGTTATTTATATAATATTTATAAAGAAAAAAATTTGTAAATAAAATGTGTTTCATGATATATTTACTGAGATTACTAAATTTTAAATTTTCTTTCTACATAATGAAACATCAGTATTAATCAACACATTATTTAAGTGTGTTATTTGCATAAGATTAAACATTTATGTTAATAAATTTAAATTATATTTAAAATATAAAAATTTAATGTTTGGTATTCTAAGTAAATAGTCCAACATGAAAGTTTTAGCTATTATCATATGGAGACACAAATTATTTTTTCATATAATGTTTAAAATATATGAATTGTTGTGCATTTGTGTTGAATAAAGTAGTAAGTCAGATAATCATAAATAAATTCATATTCTTCTAATCTACTAAATTTTCATCCAAAATGTTAGGAAACATTTCAAGAAAATAAAAAAATCACTAATAATCATTAATATACATACTATAAAAATAGAAAAATAATGAAGTATTTTTTTAACACTTGATCACAAACATATGTTAGAATACAAAATAGACTGAAATAATAAGAAAAAAAAACGTATGATGGGTTAATACTTCTTAGAAAACATTGTATACAAACTTAATGAATATATATATATATATATATATATATATCATCATCAAGTCTTACAATAAATTTGATATTAGTATTTGATTTTATCACGATAAATTATATTTATTTTTTATTTTTTAATAAAATAATTATAACACTTTATGACACTTTCTTGACTTAAAAAAATCTCATGTATGTAAGAATAAAAACACTTTAATAAAAATATATTAATCTCATTAAAAATTTTATTGCCTAACATTGTAAAAATTCACATCCTTAGTTACTATTATGTTAAAATCTTACATCTATAGCTATTTAGTTTTTCAATGATATGATTAAAGAAAATTTCAAACACTTTAAATAAATTGATATTGAAAAAATTGATTATTGCTAAATCATTGCCAAATTTATCTTACATCCAAAAAAAATCAAAAATTATATGATGAAATCCTGCAAAATCCAATATAATTGCTAGAATCCAACACAACTCATTTTATCCAATGGGATCGCCAAACTACCCTGCAACTCGCTGTCATCCATGTTCAAATAATTGTTATTATAATTCAATAGTCAAAGTTTATTGTTGAGGGGAAAAATTGACTATATTTGACCAAAATACTATCATGTGGTTACTTTGATTGTGAAATTAAAGTGTTTCCGTGAGAAATTATAAGTGATTGTTGTGACAAAATGCAATTCAAAACATCATGCGCACCCTAACGTTGATAAACTAAAATTCAAGTCACAATTTTTGTCTTTTATCATTCCTCATTGTTGTTTATATCATTAAAAGAGCTCGTTGCAGCTAGAAAAATTGTGAACTCATTGCTTTATCTGCATGTTTTTTTTGGAGAACTCTTTGATGCTTAAAGAATCGTGTTTCTTAATAAATTGTTGTTGTGTTTTGACGTTTTGAACTGAAGAGAGTTTGTGGACGCTTTAAAAGCTACATTGTATGATTGTTATTCTCTATTCGTCTATTTGATACAAATATCTCACTAAAATTTAATACATACAGTGGGTTGTATTTGACACATTGTATTTGATGGGATGTAGAGCCATCATGTGAGCCCATTGAGTAAAATTAATCATGTTGTATACTAGTAAGTATTTTGTGTTGTACATGATTCCAATGTAATTTTTTCAAAAAGATAAAAAATTAAAAATATCACCAAAAAAATTTCTTTTCAAATTGATAATGTATGTTTTTGATTCTAAGAATAATCATAATTTATTGTGTCAAAACACATATACATGTATCACATGTATAACCATATAAACTATACCAACTATATTGCAAATCAATATGAATTATTCAACTTCATGTATCATCACAAACATCACGTCTCTCAAAATAGTGCATATTATTGTAATTTTCACTTCAAATAAAATTAAAATTATTTAAAATAATATCACAGATTTAAAAAATAAAAATAGAAATGAGAGTACCAAGCTAGATGCAATTATATAATTAGAATTTTTATTTTTCAATGCTACATATGATACAAAAATTCTTTATATAAACATTAAGATACTTACAATATTTTAAATTTGCATTAGAAATTTGATTTTTTACGTCATGAATCTTAAGTTTAATATTCAAAATAAAGTAAAATATTTTTTATTTCTTAGATGTTATTACTATCATTATGAATTAATTTTTTTAATTAGTAAAATCTTAACCATATAAAAAAAATTACACTGAAAAATCTCATCATTTTTTCATTAAATTCAAATATATTTATTTTTAACCAATCAAACTCCGAATTTTTAAACAAGATTATACATTTACAAAAGAAAAATTATAAAATTCATAAATGAAATGAATTATCTTGAAAATTATTTGATTTCATTTACTTCAGTAGTGGTTAACTTTGTACGGCTCTTTTATATCTCAAACTATTTTTAATTAAGAATAAAATGTAAGGTTTCATGTGTTGAAACCGAATTAGAAAATATCGTTTTTAAGAATATCGTTTCATATAATCAAAGTTGAAAAAATGATCATATGGCATAAAAAGATGCAGTGGTTGATTGATTTTGTAGAGCACATTTGTGACAAAAAAGAAGAGATATGTTTATTGATACTTTCTGCTATTTCGAAAAGTTGAAAAAATGGCATTGTAATATGATTATAAACATTTTAAATTAATAGTACAAAGATATCTATTTCAAAAGAGTCCCGCTGCTAAGAATGTCCATGTCTACCAAATATATTCTAACCTCTTAGCTATCAAATGATTGAACGGGAAGAATATTTGAAAAAAAATAATCTATCAAATGCAAATGAGTGAAGACAATTTCTCATATGGATATGAAATGACTCATACTCTTGGTATAAAAT